GTGTCCCTGCCCGTGGCAGGGGGTGGGAATGGATGGTGGGGGAGGGAGAAGCCTAAAAATTGGATTTTTTTAGGTTTCTAACGTGGCTCAAACCACACCAACCTTCGTAGCAGAGCTGGATGTAGAGCAGGGAGTGGACGCAGTCCACGGAGCGCAGGCGGACGCCGGCCACGGAGTCGGAGCAGCGCGGGGAGAACAGGGCCAGGAGCACGCTCAGGTTGTAGAAGGGGGTCACAGTCTGTGGGGGGGGACACACAAACAGGGCTCAGGGGGACATTCCAGAGGTTGGGAATGCTGTGGGAGGGGGAGTTGAGGGTTTGACTCACGCTGACGTTGAGTTTGCTCAGGTAGAATTCCAGCAGGGAAGCGCTGACCTCCGCGGCCCGTTCCCGCTCCTGCTCCCGGGGGGACTTGATCCAGGGGCCCAAGTGCTGTAGGAAGAGAGGGATGGGGGAATTAGGGAGTTGTTGGGGTTGGGAAAGTCCTTGGAGACCACAGAGCCCAGCTTTTCCCCTCACTGGTGTGTCCCCAAACATCCACAGGGATGGAGAATCCCCCTCCATGGATAGAGAATTCCCACTGGGCAGCCCCTACCAGGAGGGATTTATCCCAAAATCCCACCTGAGGCCTCCCCTGAGACTGTTTCCCCTCGTCCTGTCCCAGAGGATTCTCCATCCCTGGAACATCCTGGGATATCCCTGTCCCAGGCCAGGCTGGAGCAAACAGGGGGGAGCAGGAGGTGTCCCAGGGATGGGGCTGGATGATCCCAAAGGCTCCTTCCATCCCAACTGTGGGATGATTCCATGATTCCATGATTCCATGGTGCAGCAGTGTCACACGTGGGCCAGACCTGTGAGCTCATTCCTGCTGCTCCAGTGGTTTTCCCAGCCCACCAGGCCCCAGATCACGGAATCATGGAGCTGCTGAGGTCGGAGTAGACCTTTAAGAGCACTGGATTCACCCAACCCTGCCCGTGTCCCCAAGTGCCACCTCCCCAGGGATGCTCCATCCTCCCCCAGGGATGGGGATCCAGGGCTGGGCAGCCCCTTCCCAGGAGGG